GGGGCCGGGGGCTGGAGGGGAGGGGCCCTGGCTGGCCAGCCCCGCCCCTTATGGGGGTTGTGGGAAACTGGGGGAGGGGATGCCTGGGCCCTTTGTTCTGGCTCTCCTGATGGCAGGGCGCCCCCGACCCCCCCAACTCTGTGGTTCTGCGGGTCTTTTCTGGTCTCCACTTGAGTTTCTGCCCTGAATCTCTGTCCCTCTTCCCTCTGGGTCTCTGTCCCCCCTCTCTCTCTGAGCCTCTGTGCACCACCCTCTGTGTCTCTGGCCCCCGCTCTCTGGATCTCTCTTTAGCCTTACTAGGGCCTGTGCCCCGTCTTTCCCAGCAGCTGCTGCTCACGTCCTAGCACCTGTTCTTGGGGTGGAAGTAAGATCTCACTCACAACCCTCCTCCCGCAACTAGGCCCTGACTCCTGTCTTCTTTCAACTAGTAATCCATGCCCACATGACTGGCCCTCATGGGCCCTGTGCATGACTATGGGGTCTTCACAACTTCACCCCAACCCAGGCTCCCCTGGAAATCCAGAGGAGGACACTTCTCACCCTAAGCTCCCCCAGAAATCCAGCCCCCTTCTCCAGGACCTAGGAGTCCCAGCCTCAGCCTCCCCCCCGCCCAAGACCCCAGGGTCTGGACTCCCAGCTCTCCACGCCCTGAGAGAGGGTGGCGCGGGGGAGCCTTGCTGAGCTCTGTGTTTTTCCAGGCCCAGATGGGGGAACCCCGGGCTGGGGCCCCCCTGGACGATGGCAGCGCCTGGACAGGAAGTGAGGAAGGAAGCGAGGAGGGCACCGGAGGCAGCGAGGGGGCTGGGGGAGATGGGGGTCCGGATGCTGAGGGTGTCTGGAGTCCAGACATCGAGCAGAGCTTCCAGGAGGCCCTGGCCATCTACCCACCCTGCGGCCGGCGGAAAATCATTCTGTCCGATGAAGGCAAGATGTATGGTGAGTCACCCCCTCCTTTGCCCTGGCCCTCATTGATTAATAAAAGATAACAAGCAACATTTATGGCTCCCGCATCCCCTCCCCCTGGCTGGCCTGGCTGGCCTGGCCTGATTGGCTGATCGGGCTGGGCCGGCTGTACCTCACTTGTGCACAAATTCGTCCACCAGGCCTCTAGTCTACACTAATAAAAGAGAAACATGGTAATTGGCGTACGACCGCTACCCTTCCCATTGGCTAATCATGGCGATATGCAAATTAACTGCCAACTAAGATGGCACTTAACCGCCAACAAAGATGGCAGCTAATTTGCATACTGCAGGCAGGATGGGACAGGCCCATCCAGGATGGGCCTGCTATCTGTGACCTGGATGGCGGATGACCCAACCCAGGGCTGGCGGGGCGTGACCGCAGCTGTTCCCTACTGGCCAAGACCCCAACCGGCTCTCCCGCCAGCAGACCGGGGCTGGCGAGGCGGCTGCGGGGACCCGCTCCCGCCAGCAGACCCAGACCAAGGCTGGCAGGGCCGCTGCGGCGTCCGCCCACAGTCACGCCCCCAACCCCGCGGTTGCCCCCAACCCGCTCCCGCTGGCTGCACCTAGGGATTAGGCCTGCCCTCTGCCACCCGGGAGCAGGCCTAAGCCAGCAGGTCGTTATCTCCCGAGGGGTCCCAGACTGCGAGAGGGCACAGGCCGGGCTGAGGGACCCCCCTCCCCCTCCAGTGCACAAATTTTTGTGCACCGGGCCTCTAGTTGATTAATAAAGGACAACAAGCAACATTTATGGCTCTTTAAACACTGTTCACATAAAAGCACTTCGTAGCCTCATAATGACTCAGGTAGGAGCTAGCATCCCCTTTGCACAGATGAGGAAACTGAGGCCCAGAAAGGCTACGTGATTTGCCCGAGGCCACAAAGCTAGTGTGTGGCGGAGCTGGGATTTGAACCCAGGCAGTGTGGCTCCAAAACGTGCAGTTGTAACTCGTCTTCCATGTAGCAACCAGCTTGCTGGGGCCTCTGGGAACTCTGGCTTCTCTCTCCTTCCCTGGTGTCCTCTCTGTTGGGAAGTTCCGCTGAGGGGCTAACTCTGTTCCATCTTTGACCCCACAGGTCGGAATGAACTGATTGCCCGTTACATCAAGCTGAGAACAGGGAAGACCCGAACTCGCAAACAGGTCTCAGGACTGACTCTGGGGCTTGTGTGTGGGACGGGCTGGTCTCCTCAGGGCCGTACTGGTATGGGCAGGTTCAGGTTCGAGGACGGTGTGGTCCAGGTGCTTTTGTCTGTCTTCTCAGCTCAGTACACTCTGTGCCTGTTTGGTATAGTTCTCTTAGCAGTTGTGCTGGAACCAGAGTAAGGGACTAAAGAGGAGGACAGGGAAGGGGAGGGAGAGGGAGGGCTGGGTTTGCTGGGTCTGGGGAAGAAGTCTTAGAGAGAAGAGTGGCTTTTATGGTCGCATCTGTGCTTGCCTGCTCCTGAGACAGCCGGCATATTCTGCGTGTCATCTCCCGGGTCCCAGCTGCTCGTGAGGCACCTGGAGGGAGGCAAGGGGTAGGGGACGCCAGGGGCAAGTGACCCTTGCCTGAGTCTACTTCTTTGTCACTCTCTCCAGGTCTCTAGTCACATCCAGGTCTTGGCCCGAAGGAAATCGAGGGAAATCCAGTCCAAGCTCAAGGTAGAGACCAAAGCAGACATCCTGGGGGTGGGAGCAGAGAGAGGGGGACAGGGACCCAGAAAGAGGGGACAAGAACTTAGAGAGGGTAACAGATCCAGAGAAGGAGGGACAGTGATGCAGGGTGGGGGACAGAGAACAAGATATGGGAATAGATTCACATAGAAAGGGGAACAGAATGGGGGGAGCAGAAACCCAAGGTGGGGGTTAATGGTGCAGCAGGGAGTGGGTGGATGGAGACCATGGGAAAGGTCCATAGGGAGAGGGGCACAGAGATCTCGCTCGGGGCCGGCAAGAAGAATGGGGTGTTGGGCCTCTCCTCCGGCTACTGCTGCCTCCCCCTCCCTCCTCTCCCCTCCTGTCCTCCTGTGCTCTTCCTGGCGCCCTCGTCGCCCTCCCCTCTTGTGCTGTGAAGGTCTCCTCTTGGTCTCCTCCTGATCCATCTTCCCACTTCCGGTCCCTGTGCGGCCTGCCTGTTCTTCCTGTGCCCAGATATCGTCATGTCCTTTTGGAGCTTTTCACGTCCCCTTTCTTTTCTCCATCCTCTGGGTTTCCGGTTGGTTCTCTCTTGGCCACAGACCCTCATTTTCTACTCCTCCGAGTAGGGAGTCTTTTCTGCCTCTTTCTTTGGATTTGGGAACCATCACTTCCTATTCCTTTTTTAAAAAATATATATATATTATTGATTTTTTACAGAGAGGAAGGGAGAGGGATAGAGAGTTAGAAACATCAATGAGAGAGAAACATCGATCAGCTGCCTCCTGCACACCCCTATTGGGGATGGGCCTGCAAGCAAGGTACATGCCCTTGACTGGAATCAAACCCAGGACCCTTTCTATTACTGAGCCAAACCA